GCTAGTTGTAACATACGGCTTATATATGCAATGGGATGATGCTGACCAGGTACACTTGGGCTTTCTTGCATTAACACACCTCCAAGACCAATATTAGAAGCATCAACCGCTATCCTTCTCGTCCCAGTCCTCATTCTTTTTCTCCATCTCCCATCCCTCGCTGCTCATCTCATCCTCCTCATCGTTCTTATGCACATCCTCATTCCACTCATTCTTGAGGAGCGGGTGCTGTCAGGAATCCCCCAATTCTTGCCACATTCCTGACTCTCGCCGGATTCCTAACCTACAGACCACATTCCTAATTCTCGAGACACTTCCCTATTCTTGATTCTCGAGACACTTCCCTATTCCTGATTCTCGAGACACTTCCCTATTCCTGACTCTCGAGACACTTCCCTATTCCTGACTCTCTGATTTCCTGTACAATTCCTGAGTCTCGAGCCACATTCCTGATATTGATGTGATGCCTCCTCAACCTCAGCTATATTTAGGTTGTCCTCGATCCAAGAGTGGTGGAGCTTCATCAACCTATAGTATATATAGGTTAGCTTTGTTCTATTTCTCCACAATCTAAATCAATGCTAATCTAAGGCTTTTTCTTTGTTTCCACTAGCTTTTCTCTTTGTTTTTTGCATTTTCCAGTCTTGATCTTGTTGGGGGTCTTGACAAAGAACATACTAGAAAGTGTTTAAACAAGTTTATAAATCATAAAGATGTTTAAAAATTATAAATACAAGATTTATCTAAATGAATAACAACCATTATATGGGAAAATATCCTAGCATATCCAAATATATTCTAAGTATATTCATTCCCATCATAATCCCCCTACAGTTTACTTAAGCAAACCAAAAATAAGCTAATAAAAAGTAAAATGATTTAAGATTATAAATATTAGAATGAATGAACCTAAAATATAATATACTAAGAATATTTAAAACTCTCAACAGAGCAAACCAAAAATAATGTTAACACAGCGATGGTTAATGAAAACATAAACTTATTTTTTAATGATTATGTATTAAAAATAAGGAAATAATATTTTTTTTGTGGGGATAAATCTTGATAATCATTTACAGCTAGTGGTGCCTTCAATCTTTATTCTACACTTTCTTCATATCTATTATGATTCTTTTATTCTAGGTAGGGATATAAGATATTGTCATATGATTGAGAAGCTATGCAGGTCTTTTTATTGGCTAGAGATACAATGTAATGTTATCTAGTATGTGTGTAGTTGCATTTGATGCAAAGCCCATAATACTCCTTTATGCTACAAAAAGATAATTAAAGTTAATTATAATTTTCTGTCTGTTTAAGTTGGTAGTGTTTGATCTAATGGGACTTTTTCCACAATCGACTATTGGCAATGAGTATATTATTATTGTTTTTGACTACTTTACTCGTTGGGTGGAAGTCGGTGCTTTTGTTAGCACATCTGCAATTGCTGTTGGATATTTCCTCCTTAATTGAGTAGTGTTCTAGTAATCCTATCTGGAGCAGATTATTTCAGATAATGGTCCTGCATTTATGGCTGAGATATTTTATGTTTTGATGTCTCAATTAAGGATATACCACACTTTCACGAGTGCTTATCATCCACAGTCAAATAGTTTGGTGAAATGGTTTGTTTAGACTTTCAAAGGCTAATTGTGAAATATGTGAACTTTCAGTATTCGGATTATGATGGTTATTTGCTGTCTCTTCGGTATATATATGTCACAAAGGTGTTGAGTTCTTGAGACCATATAAACTCCTATATAGTTATAATCTAATATTGCCAACAAAGTTGGGTTTACCTTTGCAATTGCTACAACCTATCGATGTTATATTGTGGGATTAGTATTTGATAAGCATTCTTCCACTTGTCCGAGTAAAGTTTGTCGAACACTTGAGCATACAAGTGAAACAACAATGGTGCTACAACTCTTATCATCGTCCATCTATAGAGTACAAAGTGGATGACTTAGTGTTAGTTCATTTTCCCCATTTTACGGTATATTGTTTATCTAAGGGGCTTCTTGTTTAGTGGAAAGAACCATATCAAATGTTGCAGCAAGTTGAATTGCAAGTTTATGAGGTTCATATGATGTCCAATAAGCTAATCCTCCAAAAATTATATATGTACAACAATTAAAACACTTTGTACAAAAGGATCAAAAACAGCTAACACCACCTACAGATCCACTGATGCCTCTTTTTAATATTCCTTTAAATCCTGGTCCATCCATGAGAGAACCCTAACTATCTTCCATCATTCTAAGAAGAGGAGATGATATGAAGTTTAAGTGTACAATTATTATGCTATAGCATAGTGAAATTTTGATAGCCATCAGATTAGTTTCAATCTGGACCACTCACTTTTATATATAAACTGGGGTTTTTGGTTTAATTGATATGTACATTTCTTGCATTCCCTTTTCATATTCTATACACTTATATTATTATTATTTTTTTTTTGCTTAACCAAACTTTTTATATTTAAAATATTTTAAAATATTCTAACATTTTTTATTCATTTTAGATTAATCTAGGCACCTTTGTGATATATATGGGTGGCTCTACTACTCAAGTATGGCTTTGGTTCAAAATTATGGTTTCAAATTTAGTTTAAGTATTTCACAACTACATATAGAATTGCAAATGGTTTATTAGAATTCTATAGTCAATTGATTTTCATATCATGATTTTGGGTTTCTTTCAATCATGGTTTCTAGCAACTACATTGGTAATTCTATAGAAGCTTCAAGTTTTTATAATAGTTATATTCAACCAATAAGCTAATTCTAGTACTATAGCACAACTATCTATTTGGACTGAATCTAGTCCATCCATTCTTATGTATAAGCAGGGGTTTAAAGCCTAATTAATATACCTATTTCCATATCCATATAAACATAATTATAATTTATAAATACAAAATTAATCTTATTGCATATCAGTAGAATAAACTTGAATATACTAAGAAGTATTTATAAAATTTTATAAATTATAATACAATATTAATTAAATTAAATTAGATGGTAAAATATTCTAGAATAGCCAAGCATATATCCATTTACAGCGTCTAAAAGATAAAATAATTTGCAATGTGTTGCATGTAATAACACTTGATTTGCTTAATAGTGGTATTATTTCTATTTATTAATCCAATGATCAAATAAAAGTTTATAATTTATAAATACAATATTAATTTTATTGCATATCAACCATTAGATGGTAAAATAAAAATAATGTACTATAAAGTGTTTAAGAAAGTTTATAAATTATAAACATGTTTATAAATTATAAATACAAGCTTAATCTAAATGAATTACAACCATTAGATGTAGAATATTTTAGAATATCTAAGCATATTCTAAGTATATCCACTACTATCCCATTCCCCTACAGATTTGTTTAAGCAAACCAAAAAGAACATACTAGAAAGTGTTTAAACAAGTTTATAAATCATAAATATTTTTAAAAATTATAAATAAAAGATTAATCTAAGTGAATAACAACCATTATATGGTAGACTATCCTAGCATATCCAAATATATTCTAAGTATATTCAATACCATCCCCCTACAGTTTGCTTAAGAAAACCAAAAATAAACTAATAAAAAGTAAAACGATTTATGATTATAAACGTTATAAAATGAATTAACCTAAAACATAATATGCTAAGAATATTCAAAACTCTCAACAGAGCAAACCAAAAATAATGTTAACATAGAGATGGTTAGTGAAGTCATAAAATTACTTTTTAATAATTATGCATTAAAATAAGAAAATAATATAATAAATGTTGTGAGTAAAAAAATTATTTTTTATTTTTTTACTTAAAATTAAAATTTAAAATAAAATTACTGGTATGTATCTATATGTTTATTTCAATTCATTAAAATATATTGATGTCACTATTTTAGTCTTAATCATATTATTTATAAGTTTTTATAGGATAGGAGTTGAAAATTAATTTTTATTTGAAATAAAAAATAATTAATATTTAAATTTAAGTAATTACTTACTTTTACATTTTGTAAATAGGTTTTTGTATCATATATCTAACTGAAATCTATATCAAAATAACACGACATGCACATTTTAGGGTTCTTGCGGGTGTAGGGTTTTAGGATGAATGAGGCGCGTCCTGGTGCTGCTGAAGCGAAGCGCATACGATCTCTACGTCGCGCGCCATCGGGATCCGGCATTCGTCAACGGGAGCGCCGAAAAAACGAAGGTAGAGCCCGCGGATGTTTTCTTGCAAATCTATGGACATTGCGAGTAGGAATTCTAACTCTTCTTCTTCGTGCTTCTAATTCGCGATCTCCAGGTGGTTGAAAATCTCTTGGATCGGCACAGAGTACATGAATCCACGGTGCAGAAATGCAAGGATGTCCTTGCAAACATGTCCCTGTCCTGGGACTTTCTTCTTCGGGACGAGCTACACTCGCCTATACGAAATGTGGACCTTGTTGTCACCGTGGGAGGGGATGGAACTTTGCTACAAGCGAGTCACTACTTGGACGATTCCATTCCCGTCCTTGGAGTAAACTCGGATCCAACCAAGACCGACGAGGTTCGTGTGTGCCGAAAGTTTTGATCTAGTCAAGTTCTATGCTAACTTTTTTTCATCTTTTTTTTTTTGGCGTGGTTTTCTAAGGTGCAGGAGCAGCAGATGGAGGAGTTTGATGCTACACGAAGTCGAGGCTACTTCTGCGCTGCTACCAGCGAGTATTTCGAGCAGGTTTTTGATTCCTCCAAGCTTTCCACTCGGAAAAACAATGAAAGTTCTTTGTTTCAGGTGCTAGGCAAAGTCATCAGTGGCAAACTTCAACCAACAACTCTACAGAGGATTTCCACTACAATCGATGGTACTTTGTTCTCGACTCCAGCTCTCAATGACGTTTTGCTCGCTCATCCAAATCCAGCTGCCGTGAGCCGATGCACTTTCAGGTCCGTGTTGTTGCTTTTTTTCTTCTTTGTCTATGTTTTGATGTTGTTTGATTCCAGCGTCGTCAACCAGCAAACAAAGTCGGGGTCCTTGATACACTCTCGCTCCAGTGGCTTGCGCGTTTGCACGGCGGCTGGCTCGACCGCCGCGACGCTCTCGGCTGGAGGATTTGCAATGCCGCTGGAATCGAAAGAGCTCCAGTACATGCTGAGAGAGCCGATCCTTCCACACCCCAAGCAGAAGAATCTGATGCACGGTTTCGTTGGCTCAACCGAGGCAATTCAAGTTACTTGGGGCTGTCGCCAGGGATCCATCTATTTTGATGGCGCTCACGTCTCGGCTCCCATCAAGTTTGGCACTGTCGTGACGATCTCGGCGAGTGGACCTCCTGTCAAAGTTTTCCTCGAGCAGTGATCACAGAACTCAAGAACAGCAACGATCATCGTTTCAGTGACAACATGCGGAGATTTCAAGCGAAGACTGACTTTATAATCTGATGATCGACCATCACTTCAAGCAAAAGCGAAAGCGAAAGCTAGATCGATCAAATGAAACTTTTTCGGTGGTTTTTCGCTTCATCAATGTACATAGCTGGACGGTTTGATTGATAAAATCTTAAAACTACCAACTTTTGCGAGCTCCATTTAACCTCCAAGCCGTGACCTTGCAGCAGCCATTTTTACACCATGGAAGCTATTAGAACACTTGGTCCTTCTCCACCTTATCCCGCAATCTCTACAAGCAAAAACAACCACAATTATTTTTCCTTTTTACAACCTATAAAATATAATATATATATTTTTTTGGATCAAGAAGAATGTTGGAGACAATAATTCATCCATATGAGAATGTCTTGCCTTTACAGGTAAAAATTAACTGTCTTGTGCAATTGTGGGAGCTACTCCAGGGCATGATGCCTTTCAGGTAAAGGAAGATCACATGAATCACAGAGCGAATATGCCCACCACCTTTCTTTTACCAGGAATAAAATATGTAAAAAGCTCAAGAGAATGTTTTGATGAATTTTGTTCTGGTATTCCAACCACCAGAATTGGCTTCCAAGGTTGGTACTTCATCATGATCAAAAAAATTTAATACAATGTGTTAGCTGTTATTGTCCAGACAATCATCCATCCGAGTTAAAGAGCACAGCGTTAGTTTTTTTTTACCCGTCCAGGCTGGAGCCGTACAGGTGCAGCGTTGGCAGGCGGTGACCACGACCGACAGGTAGCGCTTGGATCTAGCGGCCAGCATGGCGCCACGCCAGCACGACTCAGTCCCGGCCGTTGGATCGCCTGGCAAGCACTAGAGACAGGGAGCTTCTCACGGGGACCGCGCGGTGTACTGCGCGGGGAACTCGCGCAGTGTAGTTTTTTCACATGGAGCTCACCGCGCGGGGCCATTGTATTCCTCTGTTCTAGGATTTTGGGCATTTCAATGGCGGAGTGGAAGAGCATGGCGCCGCGAAATGCCGAGGCGATGCCGCTCCAATGCGGATGGGAATGAGGTCGGTCTCCTGTCTTGCTCGATTCGATTACTGGAAATCTTCGATTGCGCGCGTCGCAATCGCGGGATAATCCCAGGCCTGCATGCCAGGGCTTGGTGACGTTCCTCCTCAATCGACACAGGGATTCACTCTCTCTCTCTCTCTCTCTCGATTTTCTTCCTTCCAACGCAGGTCTCCCCCCCAGGACGGCAGTGGAATGCCTGCGCGATACAATGCTGGAGCCATGGCGGCCAGCGATCTCCACGCCAAGAGGAGCCGCCGGCTAGCCGCTCGATTGGAAGGGGAGCGCCATGAGTTTCACGAAGAGCGGCAAAGGTTAGCGTCTCAGTAGCTCCATCAATCGTAGCTGGGCAACGTAGGGGGGAATTTTATAATTAATGGCAGGGAAGGGAAGAAGAGATAGAAATGGAAGAAGGAAGCGATCAGAAGAGCTGGGCAGAGTGGCAGCCAAATACTCAGCGGTGGCAGCTCTACTGGCGCTACTCACATTGATCGTCACACCCGCGACTGGCCGAGAGCTCCAAGACGATGATCCATTGCGGAAGGAGTTTTCTCAGTGGAAACTCTTGGAGGACAACGAGAACGTCGTCAAGGAAGAAGTGGAAGATAAGTTGGCCGACTTGGACAGGATCCTCCAGAGCAGCGCCTTCGCTTCATTCGGCCACCCGGTAGTCACAGGCCAAATCTACGACGTCTCGGTGAGGAATTCCTCGCTGAGCTCGCGGGTGATGGTGAGGACGGTCAGGCTCAAGATGGGGAGCTTGGTTCATCGCGGTTTCACTCTCGAGGAGTTTAGCATTCCAACGCGGGCGGGGCCATTCGGGGTGGCGAGGATAGTTCTCGTCTACCGACGATTCATCGGCAAGCTCTACGAGCCCAGGGATCTGATCATCGTTTCTCCGGTTCTCGGGATCAAAGTCTACGACGCAGTGAATCTCTCGGCGACCAACGCTCCCGAGCTGGATTTCGTTTCGAGAGGCCTGGACAACGTCACCGTCCGGATCCCAGTCTCCAGAACCGACGTCACCGGCGTTCCTCAGTGCGCCACCTTTGACGCGCTTGGAAACGTCTCCGTGAGCAGCGTGACGAGCTCCTCATCGCCGGGAGCGTCCTCGTACGTGTGTTCTTCCAGAAACTTGGGAGACTTCGCGCTGGTAGTGCCGCTGGGATCGATTGCTCCGGCTTCCGGCCCGGCCGCCGCTCCACTGCCGCTAGCTGCTTCGCCGCCACCACCCGGAAGATCGCGGCGGAGGTCGAGGAAGTGGAGGGTGATCCTGGGAGCTGTTCTTGGCAGCGTCGCGGGGCTGGTTTTGCTGGGCTTGATCGCCGTGGCCGCGACGAGGTACCGCAGGAAATCGAAGCTCTCGAAAATGGAGCAGCACTCCGATCGAGGAGAGATGCTCCAGACGTCGCTCATCGGTGGAAGCAGGGCGCCGATCGCTGGTGCTTCTCGTACCAGGCCAGTGCTGGAATCCGACTACGCTGCTTCATCCTGATCGATCGATCCAATCGCGAAGAAAAAGAGTGTCAGTTCCTGATGATCCAGCTCCTCCATCGATCCTTCTGATTTTTTTGTGCTTTGTTCTTCTCTTCACGAATTTGTTTCTATATGTATTGACTATCTTGTGTGTTCCAAGCGAATAAGACTGGGTTCCATTCCATTTGATGGTATTCTAGGGTTTATCCAAGAAATGCTCGATGCCGGGAGCAATCTCGATCGATTCGAGCAGCGGAGTCTCCATCTCGGCAACAAATCGGTGAGCATTCACGGCAGGAATGGAAATGTGGCCGGCGCGCGCGAGGTCTTCGATCGCATGCCGTGGCGCAGCGTCGTTTCTTGGAATTCCTTGATGCTGAGCTACGCCGAGAATATGAGAGGGGAGATCGCGCTGGAAATCTTCCACAGGATGAAGATCGAGGGCGGCGAGCCGGATTCTCATAGCTTTGTGGCCGCGATCAAGGCGTGTGGCAGTGTGATTGATCCGGAATCGATGGCGCGAGGGTTGAATCTCCACAGCGAGGCGATCGAGATCGGCTGGGACTCCAACACTTTTGTGGCGACGAGCTTGATCGACATGTATGGGAGATGGAAGAGGTTGGATCACGCGAAACGGGTACTCGAGGCCATGGATCCAGGGAAAAGAAACGTTGTGGCGTGGAACACACTGATTCTTCGCTACGCTGAGAATGGCGATGGAGAGCTCGCATTGGAGCTCTTCGATCGGATGAGAAACGAAGAAAGCTGCGGTCCAGATGCTCGAACTTTCGCTGCTGCTGCCAAGGCTTGTGCTGCCATCGCAACGACAGGAAAATTCAATAGCGAGAAGAAGATTAAATTCATCGATGGAGAGCTTGTGAAGAGGGGCATGGAGATCCACGAGCTGGCTTCCAAGCGTGGCTTGGACACCGACACCTACGTTGGAAACTCTCTGGTAAATATGTATGTCAAGTTTGAGAAACTTGTGGAAGCTAAGCGTGTGTTTGACAGGATTTCTCATCGCAGCGTCGTCTCTTGGAACTCTCTCCTTCTCGGGTATGCTCAGAGTGCTAGTCACAGCGGCTTGGCCTTGGATCTCTTGGGGAAAATGCTAGCACGGGGAACTCGAGGCTGCCAGCCGGATGGCCGGACTTTCGTTGCTGCGGCTCGAGCATGCGCTTGTCTTGCGGACAGAGAAGGCCAGACTCGAGTCGGGGACAAGCTGATGAAGATCACGTCCTTGGAACAGGGAATGTTTTTTCATTCTCGCGCAGCCACAAGTTTACATGACGGTGAGCTCGACATCTTCGTGGCAAGCTCTCTGGTGGACATGTACATGAAGTGTGGGAGTCCGCAGGATGCCAGACACGTCTTTGACAGGATGCCGCAGCGTAGTGTGGTTTCCTGGACAGTTTTGATGGCGGGGTACGTCGAGAATGGGGAAGCCGAGCTGGCTTTGGAGGTTTTTACGCTCATGCAAGCAGAAGCGGCCGAGGAAGTGGTTCCAGCGGCATTTGTTCCGGCAGCAAAGGCTTGCACTGTTCTAGCGGCCAGAGAAGTTCCAAAAGAAGTCGATGGAAGAAGAAGGCCTGTGAAGATGAAGTCGCTGGAGATGGGAATGGCAATTCATTCCCGGGCCGGAGAAGCTGAGACCGACGATTTCCTCGCGAGCGCTCTCATCGACATGTACTCCAAGTGCGCGAGCCTGGTGGACGCCTTGAAAGTTTTCGACAAGATGGTCCACCACGACGTGGCGTCGTGGAATGCGTTAATTCTGGCCTGCGCTGACAACGAGCAAGACGAGCTTGGTCTGGAGCTACTCCGGCTCATGCAGGATGGTGGCGACTGCGCACCAAACTCTCGAACCTTCGCTGCTGCGCTCAAGGCCTGTGGTAATTCTCTGCTGAAGTGCAAGGCTCTAACAGCAGTTCTTGCAGAAACTTTCAGACATACCAGCAGTGGTCCTGGCCCTGGGAGCGATTGTTTTCTAGATGCTGCTCTCGTCGACGCTTGTAGCAAATGTGGGAGTATGCTCGGCGCTCAACAGGTATTTGATTCAATCTCTAAGCCGGACTTGGTTATCTGGAATGCGTTGATCGCAGGATACAGTCGTCAGGGAGATGCCGCGCGCGTTTTTCGTCTCTTCCATCAGATGCAAGACGAAGGCATACGAGCGGACGAGGCCACCTTTGTGGCTCTCCTCACGGCATGCAACCATGCCGGGCTGGTCGAGCGAAGCAAGAAGTATTTCGGCGAGATGCGCACAAGGTATGGTGTGAATCCTGGTCGCGAGCATTGCATTTGCATGGTCGATATACTTTGCAGAGCTGATGAACTGGACGACGCTGTGGCCATGGCCGAGTCCATGCCTCGTGAAGGAGAGGTGAGTGCTGTGGCATGGATGGGAGTTTTAAGTGCCTGCTCCAAGTCTGGAAACGTTGCTCTGGGAAGGCTGGCATTCGACGCGTTGTTGAAAATGGACAAAGCCGGCGACGCAGCTTACCAGATGATGGCAAGCTTATACGAGAGAAGGTAAGAACTTGGAAATCTTCTAGACGATGCTCAAGCAAGCCTTTTGATCAGGACCGCTATGGAGCTCTTCCTTTCCAGCAGTTCTTGCAAAAGTGTCGAGATTGTCGCGCTCTATCACAAGTCCGGAAGAGGAGACTTAAAGTGGACGGTCGCAACTAGCAGCACGCGATTGAAACTCTCCGCTGGAATCATCCAAACGTTCTCTCTCCCATTTGGATCCTGGAAGAAGGTATCGATCGATCGATCGACAAAGCTAACAAATGGAATTTTGTTCATCTTAACAGGCCGTGTGGTGGTAAGAACCAAGTCGACTTCGTACTTTCTTTTCTCCGGCCCAAATCCAGCACTGGACTTGCATTGCTCTGGATCAGTGCTGAAGAAGCTCGCGAGCAAGGCCTTGCGATCGATCCCATCCCTGATGTAACGCATGCTCTCATCCCTGTTTGATCCAAGGAAGAGATACGTGAATGGCCCATCTTGCCTGTCCGGCAGTATGTTATCCACGCTGTGCTAGAGAAAAAGAACTGAGGGAGAAGGATCAAAGAATTCCAGAAGCATACCATACCTCTCCGCGTGAGCACTGATTTCGCGATGGACTCCGACTGGCAATGCGCTACGAATCGGCCATAGGGCGCGTGGGTGCTCCGAAATATTTCCATGAGCGAGGGGTTGAAGAGGATCTTGTCCGGTTGCGCAATCTGCCAGCGGCTATGGCGGAGCATGCGATCGATGGCCTGCATCACGAACGCCGGGTTGATGGTAAAAGCCTTTATAATTTGCTTAATTGTAGATAAAGTATATGGAATGAGGCCAACGATGCCGGATGATATTATATATTTACCATCTCTTTGTAATTATTAAGGAGTATATTAATTACTACTAATCATTACAAGGACTGAACCCTAAACCTCTACTCATATGGGATTTGACATATAGAATTTGAACTCAAAACTTGCTGTACACGTGGATGGGCAGTATGGACTTATATTTAGATTAGGTTTGTGGATTAGTTGAGATTAATTTCTAAAGCCCCTATAAAAATAGGGTTTTAAGAAATATGTACTTAATACAGATTTATCTTTTCTTCTCCATTGTTCAATATTTTAATAGTTTGTTGTCTCCTCTTCTCTTAACAATGAGCTCTTGGCATTGACCACTTTATCTCATACCTCCAAACCTCATACTATAGTTTTGTTTTTCAGACCTTGGGCAGCACATTTTTGGTGGTTTCTGAACTAGTCTTTTGAATTTTTAACTTGCTAAATTTGTCACTCACTACATGAATATTTTGATTTTCAAGTCTCTTATAAGTGGGAGTGTTCAAAATATTATATTTTTATGATTTGGATTAAATCTTGTGATGTGATCAATAGCTAGTATTGATTCCATAGTATTGATAAAATTTGAATGTTTATAGCCTTAAACTTTTTTACTTTTTTATATTATAAACTTTTATCTTTAATTATTTATTATTATTTTAGGTAGTTTATTTTACTAAAAATCAGAAATAGAGATAAAGAATAGAAAATCATAATTATAATTTCTAGATTATGACTAGATTTTTTATTGTTTTAATTGTTTATCTTTTGCCAAAGTTGGCTTATTTTTGGACTCCACCACCACCCCAATATTCCAATCCCAGAACAATTTTTCAGCTGGCTTCTAATGCATTGTCACCACAGCAATTCCAAGATGTCATTCGACTCATGTCCAATTTCATCACAACTCACTATGCTGATACTACTAGAGATAATCCTTATAACCTCTTTCCAGTAGGAAGCACATCAGTGGAGTTTCATATTGGTGAGATCACTTTTATATCAACGCCCCTGTTGTGGTGGCTATGTTTTGTGTTGCAGATCCCTTTGTAGCAATCAATTTTCCCTCCCATTTGGTGCGAGCCACATTCAGAGCTATTAGAAATCAAATATTTTTAGATGCCTCAACTTATATTGAAGGAAGGCAAAGGTTTTGTGCTGAAACACGCACAGAATTTTCAAATTTTGCCATACACTATCTGTTCACCAAACACAAAATATTTCATAGTAACTTTAGTATGGCCACTCAAGCACTAAGAAACACAGCTAATGTTTTTGTTCTTATGGATTTTCATGGAAGTGATTGTTGGAGCTTTGAATCGTCACTTGTAGGGCATCAAAATGAAGTTCCAGGATCATTTATTCTAGCAGGAAATAGCTTAAACTCAGGGAATGGGCTTTATAAGCTAATGCTACATAGTGATTGTAAGTTAGTGCTAATTGAGAGGAGCAGTGGAACAATTTTATATTTAAGTGAGCACGCTTATAGGCCCATTGATGGATGCTTGGCTCATTTACAACAAGATGGGAATTTTGTGATTAAAGACTATCAAAATTATGTTTTATGGTCATCTAATAAATATTGTAATCCACAACCAAATTGTATTATCACAGCAAGTTTAGTGGTGAGAGGGGATGGAAATGTTATCATTTTTAACTTTGATACAAAACAAGTAATTTGGCAAGCTATTAAATAATACATTATAGTTCTACTTTAGATATCTTTTTTATTACTTTTTCATTTTTATTTATTGGTTTAACAGAACCACTAAAAGTAATAAATATTCCAAGAATATTCAAGTGTATTCTATGGAATTTCTTAATTGAGCAATTGAAACTTCTTTAATTATTTTAAAATTTATAATATATATATATATGCATTTATTTTATTTTATTATAAATTTTATATATATAGTTCCATATAGTTCCATTTTTATGTATTTTTATTTTATTAAAAATTATGAAAGAATTATAGAAGTTTCACAACAGCTAGATTAATAAATTTTATAAAATCACTTGTTCTAGAAATATTCATTATATTTTATTAATCCAATAAAGAAAAATGAAAGAAGTAATAAAATTATTTAAACTAAATCTTAATTAGCTTACCAATTTATAGTATCAAGCAAAGTGTTACTTTAATTATGCTTTTGTACTTGAAATCTTAAATTTAGAACACTAAGATTAAAAACAAATACTGATATAGTTTTACTCAGACCTAAAAGAAGAATAACTACTATATAGCTTTTAACAAGTTAACATTTCTATCCCCCTTAGCACTAAACTTATCACAAATAATTGTCTATACTAAACATTTAGAACCCTCTATAGTGCCCACCACCCCCTTATCTAAAAGCTTGCTTCAGGCTTTCACCCTAGTATTGTATATTTCTGGAGAGATAGTTATTCAAAATTTTATTAAATATAGAATGGTATTAAATTGTGAATCTGAACAAAGGAACAACATTATCATGTTTAAAGGCACTCTCTACATTCAGTAATGGATTTACTTAATTGGCAAGTCTAAATACCTTCCATAATGAGATAATAATGGGTAGGCCATAATTATTTGGACTTGCTAAATGTTAATCTCAATATATGGTGTGATTCTCCTAACTAACCAACAGAGTTGGACTTAAGACCACTTTAATACTAAATGTAACCTCATGAATTTGAACTTCCTAAGAGGTCACCCAACTCAATACTATTCAAAACCAAATATGCTTAACCCTAACTATCCCAAGACCCTTAATTGATTAAAAAAAAAGGGTGCACTTTTGTTTATGGGCTCTTTCCCTTTATATTTGAACCTTTATGAATCCTCTCTTAAGTTGTTTCTTGACACCCTACCCCTCTAGTCGAGCTCAATTAGAGGTAAATTACACCTATCAAATGTCAATCTTAACATATGGTATAATTCCTTTAACTAGTCAATAGAGTCAAACTCGAAACTGATCTAATATTAAATGTAAGCTCTTGAATTTAGACTTCTTGGGAGGTCATCCAACCCAATATTATTCAAACCCAAGACATTCAACCCTAAATATCCTAAGATCTTTTAACTGATTGGAAAAGGGGGTGCACTTTTATTTATGAGCCCTTTCCCTTTATATTTGAACCCCATGGATTGTTTTAAGTTGTTCTTTTTGGTTACTTCCAAACTCATGCTTTTTCTTCCAGATTGAATATCTCTAATATTTACCATTGATCTTGCTATTCACTATGATAATTAATTGCAACAATGACAATTAAAATATTGTCATCAAACTTTATTCTTTGTCTAACAGCCCCAATCTTGGAATAACTAATATATGAGTAAAATGTAATTCTAATGGAGATTAAAGCCACATATTAACAATGTTTATCCAAGGTTGAAAATTGATGTTAGATTGAGAACCACTTTTGCATATATTATTGCAATGCAAATCATTTCTAGGAGTAATATCTTTGTTTTTGTGTTTGCCCTCAAGTTTATATAGTGGATGCAACATTTGTGATTTTGGAAAATAGGAACATTTAGTCCAATTAAGGGATGTTTGATTAAACGAGTCCTCTTCTCTTCCTTATCTTAGCTCCATTCTTTATCTATGGATAACCTTTCTAAATCACTACTCACTTGCAATCCACTAAGTTAAAAAAAAAATTTGAGTTTTAGATTGTAGTAGAGCTAATATAAACTTCATAGATTGAGAATTTGCACTTTCTCATAACATTTTCCTCCAACCAATATAATATAACTTTTGCTGAAGTGATGAATAGTCAACAACTCTCCTCTAGGTGTTAGAGGATTCTAGATGTATAATAAAGATATTAGGGTATAACCAACCACCTAAAACAATGTTTAGTTCCCTATTGGGTGTGTCATTTTTTATGCATTTATTTATTTATTTTAACTTGGACTTAAACACAATCTCCATATTATGCTAGTTAGTAGGATATTTATATCATTGTATTAAACCACCAGTATGCTAAAATTGCATTAAACTCCATTTGGCTATATTTTTAATGTTGACTTTTTTACTATTGCTTTGTATTTCTATGCTTTCACTCTTTAGTTACACATTTAAGAATTCATTTTCATCTCTTCTTCCAGTGTTGTTACATTTAATAATTTGTTTTCATCCCTTATTGGTCCTCATTCCTTGAAACCAAATATCCAAGTAAAGCACCACTCTACTTAACTTAGGAGCATTGCAATTAATCTCAGGAACAAGAGCTACTCTTGAGCACTTCCTTAAGAGGTTTTTCTAACACACCTCAAGTCTATATTTACTCTCACCTAAACCCTAATATGGTTTAAGAGTACCACTTGAGAGTTTTTTTATAACTAAATTCTAGCCACATTATACTTAATATACTTGGAACATTATATAACCCAGCCCAGCCCATCCCACCTCAGAAGATGCTTTTGGCTTTTCACTAGTGTTTAGACCCTTAGATATATTGGGCCTCAAACATATCCAACCCAGAATATATTTGGTCCCAACTCGGTTTAAACTCTTTATTATTTTGATTATGATTTCAAAATCTATTACAACATACTTAGCTTGTAATGAGAAATTCATATATTGACTTGCACTTACAAGTGTTAAGAACCTCTATGATATTTAGTCTTTTACACTAGGTGTTTGCCTCTAGTTATGCTCGACCCAAGGGGTAGAGTGTCAATCAACTACGGCTCTTAGCTTTTGCTTATGAGGGTGTGAATTTGCTGGAAAACATGATAAATTGTAAATAACCAAAGAGAACAACTTAAAAAATGATTTATAAAGTTCAAATATAAAAGGAAAAAGTTCATGAATAAAAGTGCTCCCCTTTTTCCAATCCATGAGATATTTAGAGTTAAGTGTTATTGGGTTTTAATAGTACCGGGTTGGGTAACCTCCTAGGAAGTTTAAATTCAAGAGCTTATAGAAATTTTTGACATCATCACAAAGGCTAAGGTGAAAATATTGCTGAAGGATTGTATTATCTTAATGATGACCATTTAAAATCTCCAATACATAGATGAATACAAACTTAAATAAAATATTAATGGTGACCATCTAAATCTCCAATGAAGCCTTGGTGCAATTGTTGCAATTTATTGATGGTAGTGCACTCTTAATGAGTATTGTTGAATAAACTGCTAAATAAATGGATTGAAATTTTTGAAGAACAAAATGTAAATAACCAAATACAAAAATAAAAGGATTGATATCTTGAAAAACAAAATGTAAATAACCAATAAGAACAATAAATGGATTGAAATCCTAAATAATCAAATGTAAGCAACCAAAGAAAACAATTTGAAAGACAATCTATTGACACATAAATAATAATGTATCCCCTTTTTCTAATTGGTTAAAGGTTTTATGATACTTGAATTAAGTTTGAATAGTATTGAACTGATACAATTTGGTCTAACTAGGCTAGATCCAAGGGGTAAAATATTCAGAAAGTGGGGCTTTTAGGATTTCAATTTTCATTCACAAAGATTAAAAAGTATAGTGGATTATAGGCAAAAAAAAATTTAAAAAAATCAAGAGACAATCCACTAAAGTTTAAATATAAAGGGAAAGGGCTTATGAATAAAAGTTTAAATTCAAGAGCTTTTTTTATTTGAGTTAAATGTATTTAGGTTTAAATAATACTAAAGTAGGTGACCTCATGAAAAATTCAAATTCAACAAATACAAAATCTTTAAAACCCTATTTTTATAAGGGCTTTAAAATTTTAAGTATGGGATAGTAAGTCTTCTATTCAAATCCTACAAGCAAAGGTTTTATTATTGTGGTTAGTAGTAATTAATATACTCCTCAATAAATATAGAGAGATGCATGATATTTATGACAATAACACTATCTTATGTTTATCTAGTCTAAGTGCATACATGATAATCAATTTCTCAACTAAATTAGGTGGAGATTAATAATCTCTTGTTAACAGTAAAAAAAAGAATATTCAAAAGGACTTGTAAATAGATAATATTAATACTAAGAATATGAAAATTGCTAAATAATTAACCTTTATTAAGACTTCTGTTTCACAAATTACAATAGTTTCGAAAAATGGTGCATTATAAACAACTAAAGAAGACAACTTGAAAAATGATATATTAAAATTCAAATATAAACTAAAAGGGAGTGAATGACTGTAAGCTGGAACTTATGGGACTGCTGGAAGAATTGAAAGAGAAGGTCGCGTCCTTTTCAATTGATTCAATTGGTTAAATGTCTTTGAGTTTAAATAATATTGGGTTAGGTGATTTTTTGGGAAGTTTAAATTCACGAGCTTATCAGAAAGTAAATTATTTTAGCAATTGTATAGTTTCTTGACATTTCCCTTCAAAACCTTTTTAGACATATCAGGAATGAATAAATTATCAATTATTATAGTGTTTATTTCTTTAATGAACATTCCTAAAATATTCAAGTATATTCTATTGTATTTTAGTTTAAACTTTCATAAAATTTTATTAATATTAAATTCTGTATCATCGACATTTCAAGTAATCCTTTTTTCTTTCTTTAAGCGAGCTTGCAAAGTTTTCAATCACTTCTACCATTGATCACACTCGAGTTCTTGACGATTTCCATTATCTCCAGCTGTATCTCTCTCTTTCTCTCACGATCCAACATCAGATGGCACGCTCTTGAACAGCTCCGGCAAGTGGATGTTGGTATACTTGGTCCGCTTGGAGATCTTCTTCTTTTTCTTTTGCTTGCTGCCACCTTGCTGCGCGCTGAGCAGACTCATCCTCTCCCTCCGCAGCACCGAGTTCGTCATGGGCCTCACCCCGTTCTTCTGCAGCTCGCGCTCCACCAGCACAAAGTCCGTGGGGAGCTCGATGCTCCGGCACAGCTTGGCGATATCCTCGTCCACCTTGATCTTCATCCGGGGGTCGTCCGGGTAGAGTATCTCCTCCTGCGAGTCCGAGTTACACATGACCCGGATCTCGCCGCTCGCCTTGAGCTCCTGGACGTCGCTCACGATCCCCGGGTACGCGTCCCGGAGCTCCGAGAGCGCCATCCCCTCGGTACACTTTCGCAGCTGGACGAGCAGCTCCGCCTTGTTCTTGAGGCCGTGCTTGGCCTTGTACGAGAAGCGCTGGCCATCGAACGAGACCTTGACGTTGTTCTTGAGCGTCTCGAACACCTCCTTGTTGTTGGCCACGTCGACGAAGCAGCGGTTGTTGATCTCGTCCGGGAGGAGCGCCTCGCGGGTCTCCAGGAGGACGTCCAGGACGCGCTTCACCTGGGCCATGGTCGGCGAGCGACGCACCTGGTTGATCATCTGGAGCTTCTCCTTGTCGTTCTGGAATGTGAGATTGGAGATGGAGGGTGGCGCTGGCGATGGCGCCGCTCCGCCTCCTCCTCCTCCTCCTGGCGGCGCCGCCGGAGCCGCCGGAGCCACCGGAGGCTTCTTTTTGCTGCCGCCGCCCGAGCGCTTGGCCGCCGCCACCGCCACATCGGTGAGAGCCTGCTGCTGCTGCTTGAATTTGTTGAGCTGCCGAGAGAGCTCCGCCATGGAGACGAGCTCAAAGGAGGTCCGTTCTAAGAACCCTAAAAACCCTGGAGCCCCTTGTATCGCGACTTAGATCACGACATTTCTTACCAAATTGGGGTCCCTGGGAATCGATTTCCGGCCCCCCGGCAACTGGACTGGCGCCGGAGCTCCCAGTCCCAGATGTGGCGCGCCGATCAAACCCTAATTGTTTAACGATGGAATATGCGAGTTTTTAATTTGCGCGGGAACGAAGCTCCAATCGAATCCGGTTTTTCTTTGGTCACATCAAATCCTTTCTGTTTTCTTTTCCTCACATTTTGTGTCCTTGAGAGTACACTGAGAAGTTCTTGCAAAACTCCTAATTGAAACTATTTTCCTTTTTCTTGTTTTTTTCGGCAGATGAGCTATTATAAGTTTAACGAGCAAACGACATCGCAGCGGCGCCATGGCCGCAGCACCATGGAAGCAGCGCCACAGCGCCATGGAAGCCACAGCAGCAGCGCCATGGCTACAGCGCCATGGAAGCCACAGCAGCAGCGCCATGGCTACAGCGCCATAGCGCAAGCGAGAGAATGAGGATTCCAGGAAGAAAACAAAGGAGAATGCCGGCACTGCGCATCAAGGACCGGGGATTGGCCATCGCGTGGACGAGCGCCAGCTTTCCGTGAGGAAAGAATCACGGAAGAAATCTTCGAGTCTCCTAGACAGGGTATCGATCCAGTTTTTCACTCGCTTTTTTTAACTTTCGTCTCTAGATGCGACAAAAGGCTTTCCGGCGGCCAATTTCGTATGCTCAACAATGAAGTTATCTACACTCGCGGGTTTGAATTCTTGATATTTTCTTAGTTTGAAAGTCTTTTTTGTTCTTGGTTTTTGCAATGCAGTGGAGAGGAAGCTAAAGAATACTTCGATAAGGATCCAGATGCTTTCAAATTGGTAAGAGACCTCGATTCATTTTTTTTTCCTTCCATGAGGCTAACTCTATCAACTAGTACCACGAAGGGTACCAAGAACAAATGTCTCGATGGCCAACGCTTCTTGTCGATGTGATCATCGAGTGGCTAAATTCGAGAGACTCCAACTTGGTGGTCGCAGATTTTGGCTGTGGTGCGTAAAGAGTCCTCGTTGCAATCCTTCCGTTCTTTTTCTTTTTCTCGTGATTTTCAGGTGATGCTCGACTCGCCAAAAGCATCAGGAACAAAGTATTTTCACGTTTCCAATGATCCAATTGGCACGGCGTGCAACATGGCCAGTGTAAGTTTATTAGATTCGATCAGTTTTTTCTTTCTTTCTTTACATGCAGTGATTTTCCGAGACGCCTCTTCCCAGTTCCTCAGTGGATTTTGCAGTGTTTTGCCTGTCCCTCATGGGAACAGATTACCCGGACTATCTCAAAGAAGCTCATCGTGTTCTAAAGACTCAATAAGGACCCAGCTCTTTACTTCTGCTATCAAGTCCTCTGGCGCAGCATAAGTTTAGTTTTGCAAACACAGATTCTAGAAAAAGTTTCGTCAAGGCGACGATTGTGAGCAACCATTGTGGTATCTCCCCGCAAGCACGCCGGTTCTTGGCTAAGCTTCCACCAGCACACGATGCATCGATCTACCCTATGGAAGTATAGACAGATCTTCTACCCGCTCGAATCCTATGAAGGCGTAACAGGCAAGACATTGCACAGCTTCTTCTTAGTTCTTTTTGTTTTTCTTGGTTTTATGATCAAGAACAGCCATTAGAGCCCGAAGGTCTGGAACAACAAGGGCAGGAATTAGAGCAAGGAGAAGAACAGCAACAGGGGCCGGGAGGACATGATTATCAAGAACAGGAGGAGCGAGAAGAACAGGGTGCTTGATGAGGTAGAGGATGATGGAGTAGGACCGAGGAGTGATGAAGCAGAAGATGGAACAGCAAACGTGAACGTTTGGTTTGCGAGCAAGGCTGACGAGGAAGCGTATCAAACGTGCGAAAGGGGACCTTCTTTTGACATCGTTCGTTTAAGTCGCAAAATTTAGAGCCGGGAGAGTGCGTGTATCATGGCCCAAGCTCCAAGTCAAGCAGCTGGACATCATGTTGGCTCAACATCACAGCAGCACCAGTGACTCCAGGGGGCCACACATTCACGGGATTGATAAACAGCGGATAGCAGTCTCGTCCGCTGATGCCGGCCCAGTCGAAATCCACGAAAGCCACCCTGCCATCCACGTTCCACAAGATGTTCTGCCGCCTCATGTCACCGTGCACTGTGGTCGAATGCATCTGCTGGACGTTGCGCAGAGCCAGCCGGACCGCACGCTTGCATGCATCCCACTCGGAAGCATTGAGGCGATACATGTTCGCATCCGCATCTCCAATCACAGCCAGCCGCGGATCAAGTGCATGCAGCGGCCGCCAGCCATCACCTTCGGCCAAGCACTCCATATCTATCACCATCCAGTCCCCGTCTTGTAGGAGCTGGTGCTGGAAGCTGGGCGCATATCCGGCCTCGTGCCACAGCCGGTGCACTTCCTTGCCATACCTCTGGCAGAACTTGACAACGCGTTGCGCGCCACCCGGCCGCTTGATGTGAAACACCAGCTGCTGTGCCCTGCCAACTTGCATCAGCGCGAGCTGGCTGGCCGAGAACCTGCGTTCCAACTGGACGACAGTAGCACCAGAGCTCTTCTGCAACGCAGCATGGTGCGGCCAGTTGACAGAAGCGTCCCTGGTCCTGGCGGCGGCTCCCTGGGCTGCAGCAGCAGTACCAACTCGATCATAGAATCGCACCAAGGAGCCAATGGCCAGCGAGATGGAAGCCAGGGCCTTGGACAAGATGCCCAAGTGACGGTCATCGCGCAGGAACTTGAGCATGTGGAGGAAGGGCGTAAAGGGCTCGTGTGCCGGCTTGTCGAAATGGCAGGCACCGCCCACCCGAATGTTCGGCCCCGCGAGCTCTACGATCAGCACCGGGAAGCAGGAACAGAAGAACTGCCACTGGTAACGTGACCGGCTCCGGATCGTCGCCTTTGCATAGGCGTTCATCACTTGCACGCATGGCTCGCCATTCAGGCCGACCTCGGGTTTCACTTCCACGAGGCAGACGAGGATCCACGCGCCTCTGATCAGGACCTCGATCTTGATGTCCGCATTCGGTCCTGGGGTTGACGGTGTAACCTGAATGACAGTTGCCGGGAACTTGGCCAGCAAGTAGCCCTGGAGAATGCGATAGAAGGAGAGCTTTCGCGTGTCCTCGGTGTCGAGAAACGGGCTCATTTCCTGCACCGTGCGCCCCACGAAGTTCCAATCAAGCGCATCCAACACATGAGACTTGAGCCCCTGGACGTAGTCGGCAAACGGCGGCGCTGCCAGAACCAGCGGCGCTGCGCTCGCCGACGTCCTGCTCAGGTCGTAGATCGGATCATCTGTGCCAAGATGGGTCTTCATGAGAGGGTTGGAGTTGGACAGAGTCGAGGCGGAAGAAGGCAGCGTGTTGTGCCTGAGGAACCAGGTGCTGTCTTGCGGCCTCTCCTGCAAGCAAGATATACAAACGTGGGCTTTTCTTGTTCCTAGAAACACACACGCACACCTCCACGAAAACACAGACGGCTCCATCGCACAGAGGAAACGAGCGTGTCATCCGCTCGCCATTGATTTGCACATGACCCGACAAGCCCAGCTCTTTGAGCTCATCAAGGAGATCCTTGCCTCGCATACCCTGATTGTAGGTGAACACATACAGCTCCCTCCCGTCGCCAGCAGCCACAACGCGTACCCCCATTACCTTACCCTAGAGAAAAGCAAGAACCTCCAAAGATCAATCGTGAAAGAACAACCTCTAGATCGAAGCGAGCTTCACCGTTTAAAGAAATCTCATCACTTCGGAGATGTGGCGAACCTCTTGGCTTTTCTAGATGTCGGCTCACGCTGGAAATCCAATCCTGGGGCTTCCAGACAAAAGCGACTATCAACTTTACTGGAGCAACGAGAATGGTAGATGGCAGTATCAGATACAGAGTCACAAGCCTAACAAGCCAGCGATGCCCTACTTTAGTGAATAAATTCACAAAATTTTATAAAAATTCTCATAACAATGCTATGTATTGTTATTATGTATAATAAATAAAAAGAAGTAATATTAATTTAACATATTATTCTTCTCTTTTTCCAAAGCAAACCAAGCATTGATGTATAAGCAACAAATTATCAGTGTGCTCAAAACTCTTAAGTTTATCAAAACTTTGACCTTATTCTAGTTAGAATTCTACTTTACACAATTCAATTAAGAATTCTATAACGAAATTTTTGCTGGAAGTTTTGGTAGAATCTTTGCTACAATTTTTTTATTCATTCAGGCACCCGGACCCGGACACCTGGGCTGGCTGAGCACCTGGGAGTATGGGAGCCTGGGCATCAGGGCGGGCAGAGCAGGATCCCTCGTCAAGATAGCTACCAGCAGCAGCTAGAGCTTTGTGTGATCAAAACTTCTCCATCAACAAGCAATTGGCTTATAGGAGGAGTCGACTAAATTCCTTCTACTTCACATGGTTGAACAATTCCACTAAGACAGAAGTGTCATCTTGTTCATCGCCCGTTCATCTTCCTAAAGTTGAACTAAAACAAAAACTATAATGCTAGAATTTGGAGTACCTCGGATTTTGATTTGGCTGAATTTCTCCTAAAGGTACGAAAGGAGATGAGGCAGTGTCATCTTGTCCATCATCCTTGTACCGTTCATCTCCTTGAATCCAAAGCTCTAGCCCAGATTTCTCAGTAGAAAGAAATTCTCATGATTGTAAATGTTGAAGGTTTTATCTATGGCGAACAGGGAGTGAAGTGGATGAAGACAAGAGCTTCGAGGATTTCTAAACCAGATGGATCTTATCTTCAACCTTATCCTCAAGCAGCACCAAATTCCCTTCTTTGGATGGTGTACTCTCAATCAAAAGCTCAGTTGGACATCCAAAGAGAAAAAAGGCAGAAAAGGCAGAAAAAAAAGGGTGGTGGACATAGCACAAGCAAGTTCGTTTTTTATTTGTCTTATTTTTCTATTTGCTAGGATTTCCATCCACGCATGCGAGCACCAGACACAAGCGGCTTTTTGTCATCCTTTTCCTCCAAACAAGCTTTGCAACGTAGATGGCATCACCGTCAGGTACTATGTTTCGTAAATGTTTCATGTGTCATTCTAATCTCTCTTTTCCAGGCATCTTGTTGTCGAAATGCAGCTAAGGATCTTAAATGGTGTTATCCCTTATAATTTTAAATGTCTTGAGGACGATTTGAAACAGCAAAGCACAAGCTCGTGGAGAAGTGACCCACAAGAACAAGAGCTCCAGGATAGACTTGAAATATTGTTCGAATTTGGGAAGAGCGTGTTGAGACTTCTGAGAGGAAAAGTTCAGTATATACTCTTTTGCAATGAAAGTATGAGGATTTCAGAGATGGATAGTACGTCCCTCCGTCCAAATCAAGTAAGCTCACTTGCGCTTTCGATTAGAATTACTGTTCTACTGAATCGACTCACATCTTCGCTTGATGATTAGCAGAGAAACTCCAAGTTGCCTCAGGAGCGGGAGCAACTTGTCTTTCTCACACCTCGTTGGATGGGATCTTAAAGAAGCCTACAATCCTCTCATTTCGAAAGCCTAGAGCGTAAGTTCTTAATGGTATGCGTGGTCGCTGCTCATGCTTACGCGAAAGAGAGTGCGCGAGACCTCCTGACGCTAACTTAATGGTGTGGTCACAGGACGAATGCACGGCCGGATTTCGATTCGAGCTCTTGGCGATGGTGTCTAATCGGCACAGGTGACACGTCTCTCATCATATGCCCGCATTACATTTTATATACTATCAATAAAAGTTTGCTTGCAGGAAAGTGGGAAGCTCTCGGCCACGTTTATTACCTGGTTGTTTGGAGCCGTCATATTACGACACTCGCTCGGCTGGTTTTTTAGTTTCTCCGTGCTTGAAGTTCTGTGTTGTTCCAGCGCCAGCAGCGTGCTTCTTCTCTTTGCTCTGTTCCGCTCCAGCTTTCCTTGTCGAAGAGCCAGAATGACACGTTTGATGATCGTCTCAGTAATTCTACTGCTGGGAGCTTCTGTTTCGGGTAATTGTAGTGCTCCTCGCTGCTGAAAGTCCTCGAGTTTTTTCTTGTCCGAAACTGTAGGAAACAGGGAGCTGCACGGATTACTGGATTCTTCTTCCAGTCCAACGTCATTCCCTGTGGACAAAGAGGTACTCGAAACAGATTCATGTTTGTTTCTCTTGGAGCTGATGTAGGAACAAGCAGGGATTCTCGGCTGGTTTCAAGAGCGCTCGGAAGCTGCTCTACAGAACGCAATATGGTAGTACTCCTTGGAGCCAGAAGTCTTTGTGGTTTTAACTTTCAAGTTGCCAGGAGTTTGCCACCGTGATTCGTCTCGGCCAAGCTGCGAGCCGTTTTTCAATGTCACCTGCGAGAAAGGAGGCAGCCTGGGCTGCTGGTCGTGCGAGATGATCCAGATGTGTACTCCAGAGGCAGCCGGCTGCTATTTCCACTCCATGGACAACATCACTTACTGTGGCTTTTGAGAGCAAACAAACAGTACGTAGCATTTCTTTTGACCTCTCAACTTCGTCTATTATCTCAGATCTTTCTCAGCCCTATAGGATTATTGTTTACAGTGGCTGGAAGTTCTCTTCTTTCCATTGTAATAGTTCGAGCAAGAAAGGCACGAAGGTCCTTGAAGTTAAGTTTCTTTGAAGTCAATACAGTTTTATCAGACACAAACTCAGTGACAATCGAACTAGGAGTAATCCTTTGGACAAAGAAAAGTACTAAGAAACTAGCTTACAGGGCAATGCTTTCTTCTCCTCGGTGTTAGGCTCGAGACCTCATGAGAGCTTTTTTTTTTACTTTTCCCATGAGAGCAGCCTGGACAAGTTGCCACAAGTACAAAGATCACGTTTTAAATCTGCAGTTGAAAGTAGAAACCTCACCTAGTACGAAGAGGCCGAGACCATTTCAATTCTAGAGCAGCGTTCTTGTCGCATGGATCTGTGAAGAAGTAAAAGCGGAACTATCATCTTATCTGTGGGAGAAAGCTGCTGACGCTGGAGCCAGAGTGCTTCTTTAAGCTCTCCAACGATGGTGCTCATGTCGGGCCTGTTGGAAGGATCGCTCTCGATGCACGAGTTCGCAGTATCTACCACTCTTTGCATGGATTCCAAGTTGTACGTGTTTTCCAGTCTCAGGTCGACCACTTCTCTTGTTTTTCCGCTCTGGACGAGGGACCTGAACTGAGAAAAACAAGGAAAATATTACTTCACCAGGACCGATGAGAAGGAAACAAGATTTTACCCAAACAATCAGTGTCAATCCTTGGTCCATCAGTTCCAAGTCGAGTGGCCCCCGACCACATATCAGTTCGAGCAGCACTACCCCAAAACTGTAGACGTCGGACTTTTCTGAGAAACGATTCGTGGCGAAGTATCTGTGAATGCAGTATAAACATGAGTGACAAAGGGAGAAAGAACCATACTCTGGGTCGACATATCCAGGTGTTCCTTTGACTGAATTCGATATATCATCGTCGGGAGAGAGGAACTTGGAAATACCAAAATCTCCGACTTTAGCCATCATTTTGTCGCTCAGCAGAATATTGCTACTCTTCAAATCTCTGTGCATGACCTGAGGTATGCAGCAAGTATGCAAATATTCAACTCCTGCAGCAAAGCGAAATTCAGCTTACAGAGAAAAGAAACAAAAAGTTGAATTAATATACCTTGAGCGGCATCCAAAGCAATCGTAAGTCTTGTCTCCCACGTTAAACATGCCTGAGTTCCAGCATGGAGTTTTCCTTGTACAGTTCCTCCTGACATGTACTCAAAGACGACGATAAGGCTCAGAGATTCAACACAGTAGCCAATAAGAGAAACCAGGTTCTTGTGATGCACCCGTGAAAGTATCTCCACCTGTATCATCTTGTTATATGACAGCATACAAGCTTTGGAAACTCACCTCGTTTAAGAAAGCGTCACGTCTTCTTCTTAGTCGCTCATTCTCTTGAAAATACACCTTGGCAGCTATTTCTCGTCCATCAGGAAGAACACCGTAGTATACCTTGGCGAATCCCCCTCTTCCCAATTCTTTCGAAAAGTTTTGCGTAGCTAGAATAAGCTCGTCGAGCCGAAAAATGGAACAAGGGTGCCGCGGAGTTTCGACAGGATCTAAAAGTAAAGAGATTAAGTGAAGAAAATAGAAATTCTTGACATTCTTACCAAAACGTTTTTCAGCGGCAATGAATCTTCTCAAGAAATAGATTAAGACTGTGATTGCAGAAAGAACAGGCAAGCCGACGGCAAGAGATATCCAAAGACGTCGTAAATGGTGTTTGTGTCTGGAGACACCAGTCGTTGCAGCATTGAAGCATGGAGAGTCTTCTAAGAGACAAGGATTACCAGAAGTGCTGCAAATTAAAGGATTTCAGTCAGAAAATAGTGCGAAGCACAGCAGTAGCTTACTTCATGAACATATTCGTGTTGGCCACGGATGGTTTGGGGCCACTGAAGTTGTTGTCCTGTAAGTACCTGCAAACGGTCTCCATCCAGTTAATCCATGCCAGAAAATGCTCAGCATACTCACAGCATTTGAAGATTAGGAAGGCTAGTGATACTTGCTGGAATCAGTCCGCTTAAGCTATTACTGTGAAGGTCCCTGTGTGTCAAACATTACGGAACAGTGCTTAGAGAATATCCAAACTTACAAAAGAGTCAAGTTCTTAAGTGCGCTTAAATCAGGCAAACCGCCGGTTAAATGATTTCCATCGAGTCGTCTGCAATAAATCTATGTAAGAGAGCGCAAAAGATCCACGCTTACATGATATTGAGCCCAGTGAGACGTGAAAGTCCGTTCGGTATAGCTCCTTGGAGTTTCATATTTGACAAAGTCCTCCATGACAAGAATTTTAGACATCAAAGCAAACAAAATAAGGAAACTTACAGTGCATTGATTCTTGGAGGACTTCCATTGTCGCAGTTGATCCAATCCCATTTGTACCGCGACGGTAAACATGGATCTCCGGCCCCTTCGAGATTAAATGTCTCTTTCACATTTGACAATGCCGCCGCTACAAGGAAAACAAATCAAACAATGAGCCAAGAGAATTTACAGTACCGTCTGATGCAAAAGTCCCGGCGCTTAAACCATCCAAAACTGTGTACACCTCGAGAGCGCTGAGAAACGGCAGCAGTGTCGATCGTTGGGTTGGAATAAGTTTCACTCTCACGGGCCCATAAAATGTTCGATTGTAGTCGTGGAGCTCGAGTGCAATGTAAGCTCCTCCCGCTTGATTTGCCACGTTTACTGACTGAAAGACTGGAGTGTTGTTCAGCGAGGTGCCGCTTAAAATGATGTCAAACTCTCTTAAATCTCCAGAATTCATACTTGTCACCTCCGCAAAGTAAAGTATGATGCAGTATTTCCGCCCCGAAGATATCTCAGGAAATGGAAGAAAGTATGAAAAGTCAGACGAACTGTTGACAGGCTTCGTTCTAGCAGTTTGCATAACTGCAAGAGGAGCCTGTTCTGGCGACGATCCAAGAGCTACCGGATTTTGGGTGACTAGCCTGGGATAATCTTCGTCACCAAAGTCGGACGTCCAAATGCGATCATACGTATCATCAGGAAGTCTACAGAAAGTTCAAGCATCACCAACAAGCAAATCAAGACAAAGGGAAGAAAACCATACCTGATACTCGTCGGGGACAAAGATCCAATGTCCAGCCTTTGAAACAGGAGAAGAGCACGATCCGGAGACAGTGCCTCGTACATGGTTGCTTCCAGGTGCCTCAGTTCCAAGGAGGAAATGAATGGAACGTTCCCAGCGGCACTAGCAGCAAGGCACACGCTCAAGCTGTTGCTCGTAGCAACCGCGAGAATTTCGCTGCTCGTTGCCTTGTCCAAACTCGTTGTCAAGCCAGTCCAGTGGCTCGCCTGGAGATAGAGGTCAAAGCTTGGCGGCTTTCTCTTTCCATCGTAGTCTCCATAGAAGAACGTTGCTCGGACGAGATACTTGTTGCCCAGCACCACTGGAACCTCGTAGCAACTCTTCTCATCGTATCCATCCGGGAAATATCGCAGCGATCCGAGCTCCCGAGAAGAATTCGCAATGGAAACTCTCGCGACGGCACCAGTGGAGGTGAATCCGGCATCGCGCACCCACGCCTGGCCTCGAGAATCCGTGAAATCGATCGCGCCGCCGCAATCGATGTTGATATACCCTTGGAAAAGACGAGCTTGAGAAGAAATGCCTGGAGAGAGGAGAGAGCTTACTCGCATCGTGCGCCAGGACGAGACCGCCGATGAGGAGGATCGTGATTCGCAGCGCCAGCGCCATTGGCCGGCCTGCATTCCTCGCGAGAATGTTTCATCGCGGATGACTAGTTCTTGCCAGTGACGTCAAGCGGGACTGGTGATCCACGCGTAAACCCTAAAACCAGAGAACTATCGAATATACTAGGTTTTAAAGGGAATAATCTCGGAAAAAGAAGGGTGTGATCGTCCCTTTAGGTTACAATGAAGGCTCTGCTATGGATTTTGTTACTAATGGCGCTTGCCCGGCCTCTACGATCGCTAGGTTTTCTCTTCCTCCTCTCTCTCCCTCCTTCATCGATTGATTGGTGTCACAGACATTGCGGAGCTCGGCAAGGCGCTGGAATCGGCGGCAGGGCTTGCGGTGGCGTCGCAGCGTGTTCTTCTTCAAGAAATTGGCCAGGCGCTCGCGGATGGAGGGCGATGCAATGCCTTTGGCGGCAGGGATTCGTGTGTGCAAGTGGACACCGCTGGCACTCCATTTGCTCGCATTTGTGACTTGGAATCCAGCAGTGTGACGGATTGTGCTTTCAGGTATGAGGCCTTTGGGGCGGTTTCTAGAAATCCTCTCGAAGGAATCGACAAAGAAGGTAGGAAAATTCTTTTTTGGTGGAGTGTGTGAATGTAATGTTGTGATTGTCTAGGCTATTCCAGCTGCTCGGAGTGTGCCACAGCTGTACAGGAATTTTGGTGTGGTCTGGCGCTTCCATCGTGCGGAACTTTTGATCATGTTGTGGATGAACTTCTTGTAAGTTTTCTACACCTTTGTTACGATAGTTTTTCTGATTGTTTCGCAGCCTTTTGTAGCTTCTGTCGCAGCCAAAGATTCGTCCGCTCTTGCAGCACTTCAAGCATCGGTTCCTAGAGTTTTCAAGGCCGCTGGGCTTGGTTTTCCATGCAGGAGGATGTGCGAGGCAATCACGAACACTTGCAGATGTGGACGCTCTCAAACGCTTGGAGAGGTTGGTTTTGCGCATTTTCCTTACGACGAATCTCTCATGACTCGTGTGATTTACGTTTGCCAGGTCGTGGCAGCGCTAGAAAAATCCTCAAAACGGGTCGCCTTCAATATGACCATCTCAGCGTCTAGTGCCAAGGAGATATTTCGTGGAATATGGCACAAGCCAGTGTGCGAGCTTTTCTCGGAAGAAGACACCCCCGGTTTCCATGGACCGTGCCACCACTCGATGGACAGCACCAAATGCGATTGGTGCCATGGAAGATCACAGCCTGCCTCGATCTTCTACGAGCAAATTGTCATTCAGCTCTCGCAAATGTTTTATGGAATGATGGAGGTATGCAAAACATACAATTCGTTTCCGATTGACACTCGTGGTTTTCCAGAACGGACTTCATCCTGTACTCAACATTGCCGCTGGTCCCAAAGGAAAAGGAGTTCTTCCGGAAAACTGGGCAGAGAGCTTGTCCCAAGGCGCTTCCAAAGCCAGCCAGGCTCGTCACGCAGGTGTGGTGCTGCTCCTGTTACTACTCCTCGTTTTAGCAGTAGGGGCATTCCTGGCGGCCGTCAAGTCTCACAGGCACAGACAGGTACCGACGCAGTACATTGATCTCCACAGTTTGGGCTACACTCCACCGGTGCTCTAGGCTGTGTTGCTGACGAGCTTTGGAGTTTGTATAGTACTCAGGTTGGAATCCAAAGCAAGTGTTGGCTAGCCGGATCGAAAACAGCGCTCACAGCTTAAGCTCAACACAAGGCATGGTTTGAAGCATTTGCACGAACTATCGATCGTCATCTACACGAAACAGCACCATTTCTCCGGCTTGGCTGCAAGATGGCAAACCTCAACGGTTGCCTCCCACCATCGTCATCTTGCCGAAAGTGTCGAAATCCAAAGATATGCCCGTGTTGGGCATCAAAGTATTCGCAACCGAATCTTGAGTATATATTTCAAGCAATCAAACCTTTGGAAACCATTTTTTTCCGTTCCATATCTTCCTCGAGCATCGTGTCACAGCCCTCCTGGCATCATACCTCCAGTGGGCATATATTGCTATATGCCCTAGTTCTTAGCAACTATTTTCTCAATCCTCATGTACGTCATGCATAATAGATTTTTATATGCCATTGCTAAAGTTTCACCAAAATCTATCAACATTACTCAAGGGATCGTTTTTCCGCTCTATAAAGATCCATTTCACGATCGCATTGACTTTGGTGGAGACTCTTGAATATAAATACAGCTCTAAATCTAACTCAAATTACCATCGCCTCCCTTGCGCTCTTCTTTACCAGTGAAGCTAAAAATGGGACTCAAGCTGGAGCAAATTGTCTTCCTGTTGATCTTGAAGGCGTTGATCTTCACTGCAACCCAAGCTCAGGTCCAGTGTTCTTGCGGATTCCTCTCTTTGATATTTGCCTTTCTCCCCGATTGCAGCAATGCAGCTACAAGTTGGAGGTGAAAACCTTGGATGCAACTTTCGCAGGCACCGATGCCACAGTAGACATGTTCTTGCTCAACGCAAATGGCAACGGCTACTCGTTCTACGACTTGGATGGCCCCGGAGATGACTTTGAGCGTGACGCCCTTAACACTTTCACAAGAACTGCCGGATGTTTCAGTAACTTCTGCCGATTGGATGTGCACCTGGGAGGCGATCTTGTTGATGTTCTGGGCTGGGGCCTCCAGTACGTGATCGTCACAGCCACGGGCCCTGGCGTGAGCAAGAGCGTGAGGTTCGACTACAATAGCTTCATAGCCAATGGCGCCACCGTCAGAATCAGCAGATGCTAGAGAGAGATCATGCCTCCTTTCGTAGCGCCTTTGTGGTGGCCTTTTCTTTGCACCGATAAGAGCTCCAAATCACATGGTTATGGTGTTTCATTCGCCTGCATGAACATAGAAATCGCGACGTCGTCATGACATGGCGAGCGAAAATGCAAGAATTCTAACTTGTCCCCGAATCTTTTCTAGCCGCGGCGACAAAGTTCGGCCAGCCTACACAAACCAGAGACAATGTATGGCAAAGCTACAAAGTAGCTCAGATCTTCCCGCTCCAGCATGATACTTGTTACCCAACCCTAGCATTCCTAGCTCGTGGCTTGATTGTTTAGTCTATCTCCTCATCGATATCATCCTCATCGCTTTTCCAAGAATACCAAAGAAAACTCTGAAGCGCCTGTGGAGGTGAATCCGGCATTACTTGCAATTGTAGTTACAGAGTTTTGTCACCGGAGCGTCCAAAAGCAGCGATCGTGGCAGTTCAAGCCGTGACATTTCTTGCTGCAAGGTATTAAGCTTTGCTTGCTCGACATGCCTGGCTAGGGCACATACTGTCAGCATTGAGTTTACCGTGATTATAGCCAGTTCCGGCATAGTTTCAAACACACGGCTTGACTCCTCGAGTTTCCAGATTGAGACAAGAGCATGTCCATGAAACCACGTTAGTTTTGGGTTGTGAACACCATTTTGGGCAAAGAATACTCAAGATGTTCTTGCAATAGTTTAAATTACCACTATCTTCCATTTGACATGCTTCTGACTCACGTATATCAGCCATAGGCGGCGAGCAAGGAATTATGTAAGCCATGAGGCTCTGCACGGGCATATCCATAGCGCCATATTTACATCGTCGCACAAGAAACCACGTTCGGGCATATTGTATTTTTTCGTTCAAGCTGATAATGAGCAAGACAAGCATGTCTTTGACAAAATGGCCGAGCACGGTGTCTTGAAATGACCTTTGTGTTTCATGAAAAAGTGCCAACTCGGCATGCACTGCGTTAATTCTTCCATTTGCACCAGATACCCTGAATTGGCCTATGCAAGAAGTATCACATTTCATGTCACCACATTTGTCGCGGCATCGCGCCAAACAAGAGCATTGCACCCATTGAGGCATAACGCAGCGAGGACGGCAGGCGAATGGGATCAAAGACTGCCCGAACGTCGATGCATTCATCGCAGGATCGTACAGGAACTTCTCGTGCCGCAGTGCCTGGTCCGGGAAATGCAACCTTGGATGCGTGTGGCCTCCAATATTTCACTATTTGTGGGGCGAAGCATGGCTCGGATGCACACCATTTCTTTGGTTAAATGCAAGCAGCAGGCAGATTCTAGACTTGCCATTTCGGATGCAGTACTGGGATTGAAAACAATAATGGAAACCTGCCCGATGATGGCTCATGGCTGCAGTGATGCACGATCCTCGAGTCATGCTCCACAAGGAGCTTGTGGGAAACACTCGGATTGTGCAAGAGTCGGACCTCCCAAAGATCGACTCCAGATTGTCCTCCAGGAATCTATCCTCCGGAAGCCTTACTCGCGCCGCACAAGCCAAGCAGCCAACGTTGGGGGCTTTCATGTCAAAGGCTAAAACTTTGAGCTCCTGTCCAGGGATTGTGATCAATCTCATTGGCAGGACGTATGGAAGAGGTTTACTGCAGTGCTATGCAGCTCAAGACATGGCCAGTCCAAGGCGATTTTCACTTGTTTTTACCAAGTGTCAGCCCAACTTAATTAAGATAATATACTCGGCTCTGATTTCTATGACCGTTGGTTCTCTTCTCTGCTTTACTCTTTATTGTTTCTAACATGGAGGCTCTGTTGCGCGAGAGTGAGCAGCACAAGCTCTTCTGGATCGTGGACAGTTTGAGAGGTACGTCTCAAATCAGCACAACACCCGTTTGGGATGGCCAACAGGCAAGAACTGTGCCGATCAGACATAATCATAAGCAGCGGTTTTACAGGTGCCGTTTCTTTCAACCCGTCCTTACTCTTCTCTCAAGCAAGCTCGGGCCTGATACAAGATGCTGTGCACAGTATCCCGAGTTCATTGGAAAGATTTGAGAGAGACATTTCTCTAACCACTTGACTTGCATGAGCGTTTTCAATTGACTTCTTTTGGATATTTCCTGGCTGCTAGAACAGCTCAAGACTTAGATGCCATTGGAACTACAGATTAGTGTTCCAAAAGCAAGAATCAAATTGATTATCCTTGGCCTCAAGAGCCAAAGCAAGCGAGAGCTACCAGAGAGTAAATAAGCATTACAATGTTCAGTATAGTAGATGTATATGTATGTGTATCCAAAGTGTATGGCTACAATGTTGTATATTAGGGATTTTGATATACATTGGATTGGTTTCACTTGCTCTTGTATATAAGCTTTGGGCTAATTGAATATGCACATTTCTATTTCTATATTTCATGCACACGAACACACACACACACACAGTATATATATATATATATAAACATATATATGTATAAAGTGCTTAAGAAATGAATATGGGATTATTAATGATAGTATAACAAAAATTTAACATATCATAAGATTAGTATTAATTTATCTAAAAAATAAAAAATTAGTGAATTCTAAATGGTAAACAGGAATAATTGTAAAAAGCCTAAGTCTTACCTTATCTATTCTTAATTTATGATATGGACTATGGAAATCATAAGAACAAAGGTATATAATATAATACATTTTTAATAATATTTACTAAACATATAAATAATTATTGAAAATAAAATATAATAATAACAATAATTATAACTTTATATTTTTGTATTTATTAAATTATTAAATCTAGAGCATTACCATCACTTAAATTTAATTCTACCGATAAGTGCATAGAATATGGAAATGGAATATAGAAATGTGCATTTTTAATTAGCCCAAAAACTTTAATATATATATAGAAGCAAGTGGTTTGAATTGAAACCAATCCAATGGTTATTAAAATCCCACTATGCTAATATTAGTATATAGCATTATAATTATACACTTGGACCTTATATTGCCATAACATCTATAATTTATCACCATTGAAAAGTATGTTATGAGGCCATCACATAAATAACATTAATATAAAGTAGATGACCTAGTATTAATTAATTTTCCCAATCTTATGGTATGTGATTTGTTCTTATGTGTACAAAAGGGATTGTAATAAAACCATAGATGGACAATGATGGGAATTGTATTGCAGCTATTGTCTCATTTGTATACAACCCAATTGTTCAACAAATTTTGTTTAAACTAGTGGAAGAATGCTCATTAAATATTAATCTCAGGACTTAACATCAGTAGCTCATAACAATTATAAAGGTAAATTCAACTCCATTGGCAACCTAACTAGTCAAGTCTCAAGTACGGGGCAATTGTAACTTGCTACAACACGCTTTTTTATATTAAGGAACCTTTAAAATTGATATAAAAAACATTTATGTGTAAAATGAAAGGTTGAGTATAGTTAAAATAGACAAAAGCTAAAAAAGTTGTCAACAACTCTTTCAAATCCATAAATGCCTTTTTATAGTCTTCAGACAAAAGGAAATATAATGTTGACAACTTCAACAACATTTGTAATGGTGTAGTATGGAAATTTTAGAATAGCCACAAGTTTATCATGATCAACTTACAAACCTTCATGAGAAATATAATACCTAAGATAAATCATGTCTTTGGATCTAAACACACATTTTAGTTTTAACTTTAATTCAACTTCCCATAACTGATCTAACATTTTATAAATATTATGGACTTTTTTTTTTCTATGTCCCTTTTGAATAGATCAAGACATCATTAATGAAGTCATTAGTCAACTCTAGTATATTGTAAAGAACTTTATTTATCATCCACTGAAAGTCACCAGAGTATTGTTCAAACTAAATAGTATCACTTCATATAAACAAATGATGTATGAAAAGTAGTTTTGAGAACATCTTCCTTAGCACTTATTAGTATCTAAAAGGAAGATTTAACTTAATGAATTAATATTTTTTCCTTAAATGATCTAGAAGATTAGTAGTGTGAGTAAGAGGGTATATATTCGGTAATTCACTTCATTTAATGAACGATAATCAATATTTCTCAAAACCCTAAACTGCTAGTAAACACTCCTTTGTCGTGGAGTAGTTCACCATTGCTGGTTGTAATGTATAGCTAAAATATATGAATGCTAATAGTCATCATGCTTCTTTGCCAA